CGCCTCCTGTTGATGGATCTTCACCAAATCTGGCACGCAGCTTCATTGGGTCCATGGAAAGATATACGCAAATTTAAGTTTTCACATTTTGTGTTTTACAGTTTTTATTGGCATTTTTGCGGATTTTTTTCTTTTTTTTTTACAATTTCATATAAGGGAAGCAACTTTTCATGTCCTAAATAATCATGAATTTACAAAACTTCCGCCAGGTGACGGCTACTCCATCTAGTATTAAAATATAATATGTTATATCTTACTGCAAGTAATATTTAAACTTGTTAATAGATGGCGCTAAACTCGCTACAAACCACATCTGCGTAACCCGTAACATATTTTTCACCAAGATATTTCAAACATTTATATTATATTACCACATTTGTATAACTAAAGTGAACAACCTGAAAAATCCTCTAACCTCACCCTCATGCCATTTTTGGGCCTCCTACCGGTTTACCCTCAGGTAATATATGTATGCCCCATCATTCTTAAAAATATAAAAACGCCGCAAACATGAACCTAGTGAACCTTCATATCAATTTTGGTGATGATCCATCAACATCCTGCGAAGTAGTTACACGGACATACAACAGACAGTACTATTACGTCTCCATAGATTCATTTTTAATAAAAGTTGCTTTAAAACAAATTAAATGTGTTGGAGGACATTTAAAACAGGGGACATTTGTTTTATGGATAGACAGTTGAAGGTCAGAATTACCATTAAAGTACAAAGAATGGTGAAACCTGGGTGAGTTATCGGATGTCCAGTTTCACGTCTGTGGTTCTGGGCTCGTGGATGCGACCCCCAAAGTACTCATTATTCTTTATCGTTTCTTTGTTTATTGAAATGGCATAAGTATCGAAACCCAATTTTAGCCTTATAAATAAGCCCACTGACATACCATTCAACCACCAGGGGGCACTTTGATTCGTATGGATCCTCATCCTACAAGTTTCTCAAACCTTTGGTGGTATGGAACGTTTTAGGGCGAGGTTAGCGATGCTACATCTATAGAATAGTGAGAAATTATATTTTTTTTTCTAAACGGTTTCTTTTTTTTTTTCATCATTTCGTTATTCTCTTATCAAAATGATAATTTCCAACGTTTGAAAATACTCCCATTCCCTGATCACCCTCTCTATAAGAATCATATGTTATGACATTTTGGAAATGTATATTTGCTACCCACCTACATATCCCACAAACAAGTAGGGTGAAGTCAAGAGGAATGGGTGGAGTCCCTAAACGCCTCCATAAGGGGTGGGTCAGCTGTATACAGAGTGTGGGTTGAACAAGTTATCTACAAACCTTATCTGGGCAGACGTGACTGTTCGCTCCATTACTGGGCACACGTGGGTGTTCGCTCCATTACCAGAATTTCTAAAAAGAAAACAGTTAAACAAGCCAAGTTCCAAAGCTTCGTGGCCTAGTTTTAGGTCCTACCTTGCCAATTATTTATCGTCCTACAGATTTGTGAAACATGGATTAGAATTGTCAGACTTTTTTTTTAAGATCTGCTTTACGAACAAGTATTATAGTTGCTACTACATTAACAGTAAAGAGTTCAAGTCTTAACAAAAAAAACTAATTACACTTAGATAGACAATAATCAGTAGTAGAACAGCTTTTACGGATAGCAATAACAGGAACTAAAGAGGGGGACTTGACCAACAGAAACTAAAGAATGGGACTTGACCAACAGAAACTAAAAAGTGAAACTTGACCAACAGGAACTAAAGAGTGAAACTTGACCAACAGGAACTAAAGAGTGGGACTTGACCAACAGGAACTAAAGGGTGGGACTTGACCAACAGAAACTAAAGAGTGAAACTTGACCAACAGGAACTAAAGAGTGAGACTTGACCAACAGAAACTAAAGAGTGAAACTTGACCAACAGAAACTAAAGAGTGAAACTTAACCAACAGAAACTAAAGA